TTCTGCCTGTCTGGTAGCACGCACGGTTTCGCGGTTAGTGAAAACGGATAGTTTGTGTTTCGTCTCGCGGGTGAGGATCGAAGTAAGTGACAAAGAAGTAAGGAAGATAAGTCGGCAACGCTGGAGTGTAGAGGATTGTTCGACACGAGGGAAAGATGGACGTTACCAGCGGAATGAGGCCCATTTTCGGTGGATACCCGTTTCAAGGTTGGTATTGTTGGCGGTTGCAAATTTGCTCGAGATTGTTGTTGTTTCTTTTTGTTTCGACCCGATGAGAGTTGTTAGATTCTGTTCTTTAAATTGTTTTATAATTGTTTGAGAAAAAGGCATGGTTTATTTTTTGGTATTGGAACATTCGATCCAGTTTCTCTTTAATTTTTCAAATGTTCTGGATCATTTTATAAAATTGATTAAATATTTTATGGTATATAGATTATGATGATTTTTGTATTGATTGTCGTAGATTATTTTGTTTTAATTAAAATACAAATAGAATAATCAATTTGACCCGATGATTCTGTATAAAAGAACTGGTTTTTTTAAATGGTTTTTTAAATACATTATTGAAATATGTATAAGTATGATTCACTTCGGTTATTGTTTTAGAAGAATAAAGTTATGAAAGCTCCGGAAAAATACAGGATCTCTGTAGAAGATGTTCCCTTAGCCTCTCTAGTGACGGATACTTAAAGTTTTCTTTGAATAAATAAAAGAGATAAGAAATATTTTTTTGTTATGTTAATTATAAGTTAAAAAATAGGAAAAAAAAAAGAAAAAAAGAAATTTTAGAATAATTTAATTCTAATTAAGAATATAGATTGTTACAGAATAATTTTCCATATGAATTGATAAAAAAATAACATTTCTATAAAACTTCGTTTTTTAGAAAATCAAATTTGATAATTTCCAAAGTAAATAAATTATTGATAAATTGTTATTTATATGAAAATAGGAAAAAATGTAGAATAAAATTTTCCCATTGAAAAAATCATTGAACATAGATAATTATATATATATAATTTTCAATTTTAATTAAAATTTTATCCTACATTCCTCGTTTATTTTTTATATGGACAATTCATTTGCATTTAATCGAAAATTAGCCAAATTCAGTTTACTGCAAAACGAAACAAACCTCGAAACGAACAAATTTTATTCTTTTCTTTAATTCACCTTGCACGAGAAATCATCTTGAAACGTATAAGGATAATTTACAAAAGGCATAAAATCGACTTTCAAAGAGTCAATAAAACCTAATTAATTTGCTTCCGATTATTAGATAACTAGATGGATATTTATCTAGTTATATTAAATCCAATAAGGAAAAATCTTGCCTATAAACATCTTCCTTAATCATTTCTTGCATGGTTTTCAGAGAAAATATTCGTTCCTTAATATAAACATACGCAATCAAGAAAAAATGGGAATACCTGTTTCAACGATGAAAAAAGTGAAAGGAATTTATGTGACATTTGCATGACACGTGCAACAATATAAAGAGTTGCTCCAGTCATGCGTAACTTCTTTTATTCAATCAGGCAGAATACCCACTATAAGTATAAGATACTGATCATTATGAATCGTAATTTTGATAAATTCATTTCCTTGCTCGTTGCACATGGTGAGAGCAAGAGCAAGAGTTCGCAAAGTTAATATACCCACAGTGATTACTTTACCCTCGTCACTTGATAAATATTCAATATTCGATCTCTCTGAATGTTAATTAGCATTTCTATTATATCATTAGAGGAACTCTTCGTATGGTAGAATTTTAATTAATTGTTTCGTTAGGATTCTTTACTCGTGGATACCGTACAATACAGATGTCAAAAATGTTGTTAAATATGCTGTTTACGTTTGGAAAAATATTTAGTTGCCTTTGTTCCTGTATTTAGAGAGTGATGAAATCTAATAGTTGTTGTAGTAACAATTGACGGAAATAAGTTATAAATAATAATTATAAGTTATAAATTATTCTTCATAGTTTGTAAAAAAAAAAATTACAAAATCTATCTACCTATTTAGCATCCACCGTTAAAGTTATCTTATTTAATAATACGATGCTTGTGAAAATATGAATTTCTTGATTCTTTCGTGACTAAATTTTTTTAAACTGTGTACAAAAAATTCCCTTTTCAATTATTATTAATGGAAAAATATGTTTTTTGCAATATGTTCGAAAAAAAATACATTGGAAAATAATTTTTTACGTCAATTATTCATAATAGAAACACATTTTTTTCATGTGTGTAAAAAAAAAATTTAACTTCTAAATTTATCCACCTAATATTCTAAATATCTGAAGATTACCTATCTATGTATGTAAAGTCTATATAAGAATAGTATTTATAAGATTATGCAATTATGTTAAAGAATTTTTTTCATTTTCCAATTCAATTCTTCCTTAAATTTTAAACCCATATATTTCAAGTAGCTGCAAATCCATCAAAACTATCGATAAAATTTATTATATAAATTTATCGTTGTTATCAATTTAAAAAAAAATATATCGAAATTGATAAGAATAATCGATTTTAAATCAGAATTTCTCCTATTATCTAATCCAAATTATTCATCGGGATTCAAAATTGCTACCACTTAGACATTGTTTATTCCTCAAATGAACCACATAGCCAACAATCTCACGATTGATATGCAAGTCCTTTGCTCCAGGAATTGTCCGATTTCCCAACACAGGCTTTCGTAGCAACAATATTTTAGCAGCAGGCTTTTTCACCGCTCGTACGTATGCGAATAGAGTAAACTCGCCAGCGTCGGGTATTAGAAACCCATCATTTGCGCAATCCGTTGCACAACCCTACTAACTTTCATCCTGTGACATAAGAGACACATACTTCCCTATCTTTCAGCTTTTCTCGATGCATTTATTGTTACGATACAAAGATTAGTGGAAAATATTATCCTCAAATAAAACATTAAATGCCTTCCTATTTTGATCATCATTTGATAATTAATAATATTGTCTGACATTTCGTAATATCATTGACAAATTTGAAGTTTTATATCGCTTTCTTTCTGCCTCGTCCTTCTTGATTAAATATAAATTAAATGTAATCGTATAAATTAAATGTAATCGATAAGTACAATTGCCCTCTCGTTAACGTGCTTTAAGGTTTTTTGAATGCATAATTGATTTTTATAAACTATAGCATGAGTAATATAGCAGATGAAAATTTCAAAGTATTCGAAAATTTTGAGACATTTTAGGAACACTCTTGTAACAAAATCATGTTATTTTCTCATCGATTCCTCGTCTCTTTCTCAATCCTCTTAGATCTATCCTCTGCTTAGTTGTAATTGAATATTATTTTACCCTAGAGGAAATCTACGCACGATCTCTATGAGGAATCGGAACGGATTAATTTGTATGTCTATTAATCTTCTCTGTAATAGGATCTCAAGCTATTAAACTCGTTCATCAAACTTTTGTCATTGACGGTTTATGATCAAGCCTTCACTTTTCAATTAATTTTCTCTTTTGACAAGAAAAACTGCTCGATAATGAAATTGAATCTGTGATAGAACCAGAATTTTAAATAAATTCGAATGATCTCGGTTGAAATATAGATGTGATGATGTTTTTCAATTAATTATTTAGTTTTAGATCAATAGCATTCGAATCTCGTTTCTTTATTTTTTTTTTCTCTTTCTAAGATAAATAAGTGTTCTTCAAAGAAGATACTTTGAAATCTTACTTAACTCTTTCGAAACAGATTTTTCTTTTGGAATATATATATATAATGATTTTTGTTGGATATCAATACATTTTTATGAATATGACTATGAACTGAAAGAAATGAAGTTTAAACAGAGATTTACATTATTCTTCAGATATTGTAATGCATATTATAGTTTTTATATTTTTTGTAGATTTTTGTATAATTATTTTTTTCAAAGCAGGATTAATCTCATTTTTAATAGAATATGTCTCAATAAATCTGTTTCTGTACTAATCAAAAAAATTGTAACAAGTTTAAAATCTAAATATAAGTATCTATGTTACAAATGTATAGATTATAATATCTTAGTAATCTCAAAAAAAGTTAAGACATACTTAATTGCCACGTACGTAAAGCAAAATTAATTAATTAATTTGACTTGGCATAACACGTATTATAATAAACCAGGAAATTGTTTGATTAGAAATGATCTTAAACGCTTGAAGTCTAATCTGTATAAAAATAATCCCGTTATTTCAGAAAAGTTATTATCCCGCTATTAATGAAAAGTAATTGGAAAAAAAAAATGATTTTATAATAGGAGTAAAAGCCAGTACCATCTACCATGCTATTATCTCGTAATCTAATAATAAATTATGAAACATTGAGAGGAAGTAACTTGCACTTTATAAATGATATATATAAATATAAATATGATACATATAAATTCTATGATATTTTTAAAATAATATTTTATAACAATTATATTGCATTTAAACATAACAGTATCATCAGTATCTTTAATCCTTTCAAAAGTAACAAACAAACACGTTCCAAAGTAAATTTTACAAAGATCGATGGATCGTTATCATCGACACGAAACTTATAATTATTATTTCTCTTTTCAAATATATATAGATATATAGATACCTCAAATATCTCTCTTACTATAGGAACAACAATAGAAAATAAAATAATATTTTTCAATAATAACAAAAAAAAAAATAACCAACAATCGAATGATCGATTACCTACTGTAGGTAATATCGAAACTTGAAACTATGATCTGTATCCAATCCCTGATTGAGACGTTCACGTTCCACGAATCGAATGCATAAAGACTGATGAAATGTTCCCGACAGGACAGGGACGTATGAATCAATTGGGAGGCGTTTTCATCAACGGCCGACCTCTTCCGAATCACATACGGCTGAAAATCGTCGAAATGGCAGCGGCTGGTGTTCGTCCCTGCGTGATCTCGCGGCAGCTTCGCGTTTCTCACGGATGCGTTTCGAAAATTTTGAATCGGTACCAGGAGACCGGTTCCATAAGACCGGGAGTGATTGGTGGCAGTAAGCCGAGGGTAGCCACCCCTGAGATCGAGGCGAGGATAGAGGAGATGAAAAGGGACAATCCTGGAATTTTCTCGTGGGAAATAAGGGAAAAACTGGTGAAGGTAAGAAACTGATGATTTTTCTTGAAATCTTACTTAAATATATATAATAATCCTTTATATATATATATATTATTATTATTCCATGTAATATCTTTTTAATTTAATATAAGGGAATTAATATAAGATAGGTACATTTTTGAAAAATATATTTTTAACATTATTTATTTCTACATTGATTTATATTGATTTCATTTTATTTTATACTATAAAACTATTTTAAGACTATTTTGAAAAATACTACAATCGTTTAGATATCTCACTAGAGATATAAGATCTTGATGTGCCATCATCAAATCGAAATTTATGTAATTCAATCGCGAAATTTGATAAAACTGAAAATTGCATTGCCACGATTAGAAAAATTTGATTCAGCTTCTAAATATCGAAATATTTTTAAAGCATACTCTATATGTTTTTAAAATATAAATGCATAAGTATCCAAATTCAAAAACTGTCATATCTCTCTTAACCAGTTATTAATTTTTCACTTTACAGAGAAACATCGAAAAATATCATCGTTCAATATTATAACATTCAATTGCAATCTAACATTAATACTTAAATTTTAAACAAAAATAAAATATTCACTTCGATTCCTTTGAATATCTTATATCTTCTTCCATCTCATGTACATTCTCCGTAAATTTTTTCAACATTCAAATTTTGCATATAAACGCATAAACATTCTTAATCACGTACTTATCAAATTCAAAAAATTGTCGTAATTTTCTCTCCAACCAGATAAATTTCGAGAGTGGAGTTTTCCACTTGAGGAAAACATCGAAAGGCGTCGTCACCCTCCCGATCGGGGGTGGACGTTTCCGCAGGGTCCCCATATCTCTCGAAAGATCGCGAGTGAGTGGGGCTTTTTAATCTTGTGCACGAGGCGTGCACAAGGTGGGCAGGGGTGTACGTGAGCGCCCCGAGGCGACTCGCGTGTCCTTTAATACGTTACTGGCCGCCGCCTACACCCACGCCTCATTGGCGTAACGCTCCCTCGTTCGTGCCGCGATTTTCGAGTATGCAAAACGACTTTTCCAAGAATAGCCTTCTTCCGTGTACGGCCGTTTTATCTCGACACCTTGAAAAATCGTAAGCATCGGCCAAGGGAACAACCACGGATACGGCTGAAACACTCGCTCAGGATAATAATTTCCTGAGGATGGATGGATGCTCGATAGGCGATTAGAAAAATTGTGATAATGGAAAGGCGTGAACGAGATGCACGAGCTGTTAATCATCTCTTCTTAAAGGAAGACAGTGGAAACAGTAAAGATCGTAATTGAAATTGTTTAAAAGAATTTTTACTTGAAGAATTAAAATTGAAGATTTCTAATTAAACTTTCCTAATTGTTAAAAAACTTTATTTTATTTTTAGAAGTAGATTTTATTAATTTTCTATTGAACGAAAAGCGGTTATTGTTTGTTGTTATCACCAGTTTTAATTTAATTATAAATCAAATCTAATTTCTATAAGCTTTGATCAAGATATTTGGAGCAGTTACGAAACAAATTTTGATATATCTCTTCCATGACGAAGAATAAAGGATCATCGTGGATTTCATTCCTTTAAAATCATGATTAATAAAATTTAATGATAAGAATATTGGGGAAAAAAGTGAAAAGTACAGTCTTATTTACAACAGTAGATAGATTATATTTGATACAAAAATTCTATAATACTTGGTATCAACATGAAATTTAATAAAGTAAAAAATAAAAAGCACATGTCCTGCACCAATGGACAGCTGTGTCTTGCTTTCATCGTCCCATTATTTTCCCATTATTTACATATGAATAAAGCAACAAAATTCGTTCATAGTATCAATCTAAATAATCATCATGCGCATCTCGTGAAAACCCTATAAATTCTCGAAATTAAAATTTTGGCTCCACACCCTCTCCACCCTCTTCGAAATTCGTATCGACGATCGGCCACCGACGATCGGTCCCAACAAAATCAACAGGGATCCAATAAAACCAATAGAACCGATAAAACCGATTCACGATGGAACCGATCCACGTGGTACAACCCCAAAGCCGATCCTCGATAAAGAGATAAATCGTTGGAGGCTGGAAGAGGAGAGGTACGCTCCGTCTCGAGGCGCGGGAAAGACAAAGAGGGGCGTAGAAGGGCACAAGAGGCCGCGCGTGGAGGCAAGCGGAGAGGCGGAGGACGAAAGAGGAAAAACGGTTTCGTGAACGCGTACGCCGTTGCAGAGAGAGTCGTGGAAGCAAGGCGGTCGTGGCCGGCATTAATACGGCATTTAATGTTGGAAGGGGGCGTTCCTGGGCCCGTAGGACCCGGGGCGGCATCCATCCTCCTCTATCCACCACACCAGCGCCGTTCTCCTCGCGTTAACCGACAGAGAGGTCCGTCTTTCTCGCTGCTGTCATCGC